TGAGCTCACTGAGGCTGCTCTACCAGAGCTGTGCAGTAATACAGAAATCAGAGGAGCTGTAATCACTGACACTGCCCTGTAAAGAAAGCTTACAGCATTTATCCATCTTAAGGGATGTGCTGTCACTCACATACCAGTGTTATACTTTGTGTCTTGTGCTGCATATATGAATACAAGACAGTAGGTATTTTTATTAATTTGTAGAAACTTCCAGAGAAATGCAGCCTCCAAAGCCCTAGAATATGTCACTTAGGTCTTTATGTACATGCTGCTCTACAGAAAGGCTTTTCTGCAGAGTGAAAGGGGGCTGTAGGTAGAACGACTGCTGGAAATCAGCTTACAAAAAATTCAACGGTTTCTAATACCTGTGTTTGCCTCCAGTTAATACCATTAGTCATGTTCTCAATTCACAACTGAAATACACCCAGATACTATGGAGATGAGCCTAAGAACCAATTGGAATATTCCAGATAAAACCTGATCCCCTAAATCATGATACATCTGAATAATTTGGGATGCAACCAGCAAGAAAAGTTCCAGTGAATATCACAGGCCCATTTCTCCTTTACATCCAAATCTTATTTCTACACTGTACGATAGTATAAAGAAGACTTAACATAACTATTTAAATATAACCCATTTCTATTCAAAGAACCCTTCATCTTGCTGGAGTTTATGGGTCTCAGACACAATTAAATCTCCCCTGTGAGCAAAGTTACACAGATGTGGAAATGTATGCGGGATCAGGTCTTTGCAGATGACATTTCATGTGAACCTTTACTGCTGATCTGGCACCAGAAAAGTGGAAGTGATGCTTTTAGAAGCAATTCTCTGTAGAGATCCATTACTGACATTGCTTAAAACCCTCTCATTTTGATTTTAAAGCTTTTTCACTATTATATGGCTGTGGTGACTATTTCTAACACTGCCTTTTTTATGATTAGTGTGTGCTTATTATTTTCGTATTTTCTATTTTTATTTTTATCTTAAACAGTGAATCACTGCTTCATTGGAACAATGATTTTCTTTCTGTAATTGATGGCTAAAATATTGGCCAGCACTGAGAATTAAGACAAGTGTGAAATCTGTTGCTTCTAACATTAAAAACTGATATTCCAAGTATTTCCTTTCTGATTTCTATGCTGGCAAGAGCTCCTATGACTTACAGAGTACAAGAATGGCTCTAGCTCAAGGCAAGGTGAAAAAGGCACTAGAATACATTTAAGTGTATCTAGGTGCTTGTGCACATCCACACAAAGAAAACAAGCCAGACCTGCACAAACACAATGATTGGAAGAGGGCAAAGGGATTTAAAGAAAAAAGTACCAGTATGAGCAAAACCAAGGGAGGAATAACTACCTGAATCACAAAACAGAGCATCCAGCCTCAAAGATGCTAATTCAGGTCCTGAGGGATCTAATCAACCTCTTTGTTGAAGTAAAGATAAAACTTTTTGACAGCAAACGCTTTCTGATAAAATGGAATTTTCAATTACCCTGTGAAACATCTGGTCCGCGCTGCCATTTCCAGGGAAAGCCACCACCACAGTCTGCAGGGCTGGGAAACATTTCCCGCTGAGTTCTCCCCGCGTTGCTGGGAGGAACAGGTGTCAGAGCCCCATGGCAGCGCTCCCGCCAGCACGCACGCTTCAGCTCCTCCTGGAAACCAGGCCTTCCTCCAGGGCTGCACTTGGAGCCATGGCTACACCAGGACGTGGAGAAAATCCACCCCATCTTGCGGTGAAACACGCCAAGACACCGGGGGACGCCGGGATTTAACCCCATCCTCCAGCAGACTTCTCCAGCCATCCCAAAACATCGCTGAGATCCAACAGCCGCTTGAAAACACCCCTCTCTCAAAGAAATCCGTCTGGAAGTTCAGCCCAGGCCGTCGTTAGGAAGAGAGCAGCACATATAAACTTCCAGCAGCGCTTAACACCTCCACAAATAAACAAACAATTAACCAGCAGCCAGGCAATCGCGGAAGGTGGAACGGCACCAGTGCCCGCCTTCCTCTGCATCCCATTCGGTGTCAATTAGCAAGGGAAGGAAAACAATCCTGGGCGACAATGAACTCCAAATTGGGCACATATTAGAGCAATTAAAGCCATCTTTTCATCAGATGAATTTATAATCAATAATTAAGATCCTGAGGTAAAGAGGGACTGGGCAGAAGTCCTGCTCCCAAAATACGCGACGTGGCTGAGCTCCAGGCAGTAATTTCTGATGACCTGCTGCTACCCACTAAAGCTCAATGGTCTCCATGCTATGGTTTGGCATTTTTCTGGAAATCTAAGTCATTTCCAAAGGAGGAGAAAGGGCTCCTGCCAGTGGGACTGGCAGGTGGTGTCACTCCCACCCTAGAGTGGCACCAGCAAAGCGAAACTGGGGCTCTCACACCCAAGCACTCACCACTGGTGCCACTGGTTCCAGAAGACAAAGGAGCTCGCACCCATCCAAGCCCACCTTCCTCTGCAGGAAATGCAGCATCCCAGTAGGCAAAGGCTGGCCAGAGAGGTCCACACTGACCACCCCGAGCCACCACAGAGGGATCATCCCCTGCTACCCAGCTACCAGGACTCCTGCCAACCGGCCTTGGCAGATCTGGGGTTACCCACCGGGCAGATAAAGACTCACAAACTATTGGGACTCAGTCTGAGGGCTGGCCACTCAGGAAGGACTCGTGGTGCCACAAGCTGAAGTCCATGCCTAGCAGAGGCTTGCCTCAGGAGAACCACGGCAGAGATCATTACCATCAATGTGCAAAATCCACCCCATTTCTCTGAGATTACACGAGATGCAGTTTGGGCAGGGACAACAAGCAAAAGCAGAGCACGGGTACATGAGATGCCATGCTGCTCTACAGACAAGAACTGTGTGTTTGGAGCAGCAGTCAGCCAATAGTCCTGCACATCCTTGTCAATGAATTTCTTGTGTTTCCTCCCCATCCTGCCACTCTGCCCCAAAATCAGGTAAAAATTACCAAGCCCAAACCATTGCTTTAATCATGTGGGAAATGCTGTTATCACCATCATTTCAGCTTCTTGATTTTCCTGATTATTTTCTGCAGTTCCTGTTTGAGAAATCAGCTCAGGCAATACTCTGTTTAACCTTTTTTTCAGCTTCTGTGACAGTAACCACTCACTCCCCCGCCTGTACTGCTCCTCTCATCACTCCACCAGCACCCTGACCACCTCACGGGGTTACCCCGAGCTCTTCCTCCCAAGGATCCCACAGGACAAGAGATTTGGCTGCAGCACACCTGCCTGCAGGTGCAGCACCAGCACGCTGCTTCCCTCCCAAAAGCAAACCACACCCAGGAGCACCAAGCCCCTTGGCCACTGCAGGATCGGGAGACAGACAGGTTGTCTTCAGAAGTCACCTTCTGGAACACACCTGATTTTTGGGGTGTGTTTTACATGCAGTGAGGAGCTCATGTGGACTGAACCATTCTACTTCCACCTGACTTGTCCGATGAGCTCTGCCTCCAACTCAGCCTCTCTAACTTACTTGCATTGTTATCAGAGCCAGCACACAGACTTATCAGAAATGTAATCCCTGTAAAACTCTATCTGCAGTCCATTGAGATTGGGCTTTTTGCTGAAGAAATGTGACAAAAAATTAACAGATGTTGCTCAGACCATTCACCAGGATGGGAATCAATTATGAACATTTCTGCTTCTACAGTCATCCCTTACTACAAATGCATCTTAGGAAACCCTCTCCTGATCGAAATGAAAAAGCATTTCTTTGTAATAGAAGAATAATAAATGATAGCTATCAGCCTGCATTCTCTGACACGGTGCTGGTCCACAGAGAATTAAACTGACACTGTACAGTTATATAAATGTTTAATTTTTTTCATCTTTGGCCACAGTAGGGTTGTCTGGAAATACATTATTGCTGCGGCTGCCATCCCTCTCCAATTAGTGTGGCTGGCAGCGTGGAATGTGTAGGTGACCTCTGTGTTCCCCTCCTCGTGGAGTCTTACAGGGTTAACTATGGCCATTTAACAGACTCTATCGAGAATTAATACAGAGATCAGATTCTCTCCAGAAAAATCCCACACTCTGTGGCGCAGATGGCAAGAACTCTCTCTCCCCCATTTGACTCTTTTATGACAGCAAAACAAAGGCTTTTAATGATGTTTACCATGAATTGAATTAAACAGCTGAAGACCAGTTCATAATCACAGCATTTTGTTTTCATATCCTTAAGTCTTTTAGCAGTGGGGTTTCCAGTGGAGCCTCAGCTACAGCTTATCTCAAGATATAGCCAAGTGCCCCAAGGCTCCCCGCGCCGGAGCACCAAACCGCACTCAGGCTTCCTAATTGAAAAAGACAGGATGTTTGCATAGGATGTTTGCATCCCTCAGACATTAAAAGCGACATTCATGGCCAAGTACAAATGACACTCGGGCTCAGTTGAACTCCTCTGACTTCCTTCCTCTAGCTAACACCAGTCTGATTTCAGAGCAGGACTTCATCCCTGCACGTGGGGACGGTAAGAGCTGAAAGCTGCCACCTGTGCAGGTGAAAAGATGCAAACCCTCCCCCACCAGCCTGAGCTAATCCCCTGTGGGACACCTGACTAATTGTCTACGTGCTCTGCAGACCTTTGGGAAAGCTGAGAGCTCCAGGGCTGGGACAGGAGCGCTGGGAAGTGCACACACCATCAGTGCTCGGGAGGGCAGGCGGGCAGGGACCAGCCCTGGGCACAGCACCCCTAATTCCAGCCCTAATCCCAACTCCAGCGCTCACTCAGGCAGATGCTCAGGGCCTTGGGTTTTCTGCCTGTGCATAGAGGATAATCCCAGCTGTTCCCTTACCCCACAGGCGTGGTGTGAAGATTAATTTACACCTCCCCAGCACTCTGACCATGCACAGCGCTATCCCCAGCGGGCACTAAGTGTCCTCACTGCACACCCAGCAGGGCAGCAGCAGAGCCCCTGGTGGCAGTGTTGGGGGCAGTGGGCACCCCCAGGACACAGCAGTGGCTCACCTTGCTCGGGGCCCTGGGAGCCCATGGAGGGGACGCTGGTGTTGAGCACATCGTTGACGGCCGTGTCGCAGTAGAGGCCCCGCTGCACGTCGTGCTCGCTGTCCGTCTGGTCGCTCTCCTCATGGCCACTGTCCTTCAGACTGTTCCCCTCCAAGTCCTTGAACGTGGAGCTGCTGGGGAAACACAGCTGTCACATACTGGGTGGGACAAGGTGGCCCCCGACACGGCGCTGCAGCGAGACCTTGGGGTGGGAGGTCCCTGCCCTCCACGGCAGCCCACAGAGAGCGGGGAACACTCCTCTGAGCCCCAAAACACAGCAGGCTGCTCCTGCCCCGGGGTGTGGGGTCAGCCTGTGGGTGCCCTCAGGCTGCCCTGGGTCTTACAGAAGCTCAGAGTGAAGCAGAGTTTGAAATAAAATTTAAAAAATATACATTAAATGAGCTGTTTCCACATCTTGGCTCTCCCGAGTTGTACTACCTCATATTGAAGTTACACAAGATCTAAAGCCCAGTTTTCTAGGTTATAAGCCAAATCCTAATCACTTAAAGCTTAAAAACAAAAGTCTTCCCGGAAACAGGAATGTCTTTTAATCATGATGATGCATTTTTATTTTTAAAAATAAACCAGTGATTCTGGGTCCAAGTTCATGCAGCTTTAAGGAAATCTGATACACAGCCAAACATCCTTGACAGCCTCTGCAAGGATGTCCAAGGACTGAGCTGCTCCCAGATTTCCCCCAGGGGATGAGCAGCCCCAGCATGGAAGGCAGCCCCAGGCCAGAGGGATGGAAGAAGGGCAGCTCCTAGGAAGACAGGCTGAGAGAGCTGGGATTGCTCATCCTGGACAATGTTCTGGGAAGACCTTAGAGCCCCTTCCAGTTCCTAAAGGGAACTCCCAAAAAGGAGTAACTTTTTACAAGTGCAAATAGTGATAGGACATACAAAAAAGAGGGAGTGACTTTTTACACAGGCAGAGAGTGACTGGACAAGGAGGAATGGTTTTAAACTGGAAAAAAAAGAGTTGAGATTTAGATATTAGAAAGCAATTCTTCCCTGTGAGAGTGGTGAGACACTGGCACAGGTGCCCAGAGCATCTGTGGCTGCCCCTGGATCCCTGGCAGTGCCCAAGGCCAGGCTGGACAGGGCTGGGAGCAGCCTGGGACAGTGGGAGGTGTCCCTGCCATGGCAGGGGATGGCATGGGGGTGATCTCTAAGGTCCCTTCCAGCCCACCCCATTCTGTGATTCTCTGAAGAGCTGCATTTCTGGCTGCACTGGGACCCAGCACCCTGAGAGGGGCCGTGCCCCAGGACCCTGCACTGCTGTGAGCAGCAGGGACACCAAGACACACCTGGCCCAGGTGGCACAGCCTTCAGAGCACCCTGTGCTCCTTCCACTCCCAGCCTTGGCACGGGAAAACTGCACTCACTGGGAGGATCCACCTGCACCCACTTCTCCAAACTTTCTCACTGGCTGGTTTGGTGTGAAACGTCAGTGACAGACACGGCCTGGGCTTCAAAGCCCCAAAGAGCTGGAGATTTTCATTACTTTGAAAAGCCCTTTTGTGTCTCCACGGAAACCAAGCAGACCACCTACCATCTGATGCTCTGCAAAAGCACACGAGGGGGGAGCTCTGAAATACATATAATAAATTGGTAAACCTTCAAACATTTCCTTTTAAATAAAGATGTCCCTATTGAAGCCGCTGACTTTGATTCCAGGCGACATCAAAGATTTTTAAGTTAAGAAAGCACTACAAATCTACAATTCATTTGTGTGTGTGTGTAGATGAGTGAGAGAGGCAAGCAGACAACACAGGAAAAGTACAAATAGATTAATTAAGTGCTGGATTTGAGAAGATTCACTCACCAAAGATAGCAGAGATACAGCATCTTCATAAAGGCAAAGGATGAAAATGATGCCACAGTATGTTACAGAAAATATTTTTTGCTCTCAGATGTCTGCACAGCATTCCTGGCACCCGTTGTACTTAAGATACAAGACAAAGGTAGAAAGCCAGGGGAGCCGCTGTCCTACACGGAGCTGCTGCTCGTAATGCGCAGGCAAGCCGTGTTACGAGGCATTTATCTTCCCTGCAGTGAGCCAGACCGTAATGCAGCAGCCACACCACACGTTTCCACGGCTGACACTTCTCTAAAGGATGGGCAGGTCTGGGGGAATCGGCAGCAGCAGCATTTCCCAAACAATACAGCCTCGGAGCAAGCCCCGCTGCGGCAGGCTGGAGCGCTGTTTGCCTTTATCTTAGGTGTGAACGAGGAAAGATTAATAGATTTGGGGTTTTTTCAGTGTGCCTGAAGACTCTCTGGCGAGGAGCACAGGCCAGCCAACTCTCCCAGTCACATTAGCATCGTTAAACACCACGAGCCACGCAGGCAAATACACCTGCTGAACCCGCGCGGCTCCAACAATGTGCTCGCAGCTCCCTCACTGCTCAGCTTTTTGAGATGTAAACAAATGGGATCTCAGCCAGGCAGATAATTGGATATTTTTTACTGCTCAGATCAGATCTCAACAGTTCAGGGCTGGCTTCTGCTGTCTGTGAAACCCTTGGTTCAGTGATGGCTTCTGCAGAGCCGCCGAGCGCAGCCCCGCTGGGCACGGCTTGCTCCCCACACCCCGGCCGGGCCCTGGGGAGAGGAGGGAGGTGGGCAAGGAGCTGCTGGGCCCATCCTGCACCCCAATCCTCATCCTCCTGGTGAGGAGCACTGATGGTGCTGTGTGAGTGCCCTTCCCAGCCTCCTGCCGCTGGGGCGATGCTCAGAGCTGAACCCCTCAGCCCAGGGGGTTCAGCTGGGTCACCCCGGCCTGAAACTCCCAGAGACATTCCCTCACCACTGCTAGGCTCTGAGGAGAGCAAACCCAAACCCAAAGTGTTCAGTTTTCCCAAGGGTAACTGCCAGGTTGCAGTTGAACTGATTGTTTCCTTTCACACATGGAAAAGTCAGCCCAGCAAAGCGCTGTTTGCCTTGGTATTCAAACTAAAACAGCGAGCTAGAACTGTGAGCTGCATCCAAACAAATTACCTGCCCCCAAACAACTTGGCTTTTTAATTTTCCCTGCCTCACATGGCAGGGAGATCTCACCACCCAAATCTATCCTTTTATTCCTGTGCATTCAAATGGAATAAACTCCCAGAATTTGAAAGTTGTCAGGGTAACAGCACTCTACCTCACTTACTGCACCTTCCCAGAGAGAAAAATCCAAAGAGAAGGAAAAAAAGATTTCCTTTATTACAAACCATGAGCAATGGGATTTAATGGGAAGTAAGTACTGTTTTAAAATCAAATTATTACTCTTGAAAAGTTATGCATATTAAAATAAGCAAGTTGTATATGAAGCAGTAAGAAAGAACATTAAACCCTTGGGATTTGGCTGGGCAAAGCCAAGCCCTTCAAGCAAGCCTACATACCTTTTTATTAAATGAGCTCTGCTGTTCACGTAGTTGGAATCAAAGGAGTAGTTTTCAGTCTGGAAGGAGGAAAAGAAAAGGGAGATGGTTACAAGTCTGATTTCTCCATGACTGGGAAGAGTCAGGTTTGCAGGGCCAGGATGAAACCCTGCGAGAGGGAAGGAGCATCCCATGATGGCACAGGCCCCTGCAAGCAGGACAGAGCCAGGCATGGAAAACTCCAGTACCTGTCAGTCTTTCCACCAACTTTCACCAAAAAAAAAGGCTGGCTGGTGACCACAGAACAATTTGCAGAGAAGAAACAATGTGACTGTGCTCTGTTACAAAACTAATTGCTTTTAATTCCCTGATGGACTCAGTTCTGTGTGTGTCAATTTGACTGAAAGTTCAAAAGGTATTTTTCTTATTAGTGTATAATTAACATGTTAAAATATTTATTGCATAGATATGTAAATGCCAGCAAGGTAATCCCTTGCCAGAGAATTTAATGTGGGCACTTTTCTTTGTTTTACATCATTTCATTTGCAGAGACAGTGGGCTCTGTTATTAATAAAAAGGCAAACAATGGGTGACATGCTTAAAAGTTGGAGGGGAGTAAAAGAAGGGGAGAAAAGTCAAAGGAGTTGTTATTTGCAAGCAAAACCCACTAACTCGTTCTGCACTTGAAATGCTGTCTTTTAACCTCAGATCACACAGGCCTGGCATTCTGGTGCCAGCAGCAGGTAAGGAACCAAGAGGAGCAACCAGAAGGTAGAGGAGAGAGCAGGGGGACAGCCACGAGACCACGGTGGGAGCTGTGCAGAGGGATGCAGTGGCAGGTGCATGGTAGGACGTGATGGGAGATGCTTGGTGAACCACAGTGGTGGAACACGGTGGGACCTGCACAGCCTGGCCAGGATCCTTCCTGCACTTCAGGGAGCCCTGAGGATGCAGGATCTTGTACAAGCCAGGCCCTCCAGCCCACCTAAAGTCGCCCCAGGTCCCAGCTGGGCTCCCAGCAGCCCCACCCCTGGCCCTGGGGATGCTCCCTGCCTCCTGAGCAGCAGAAGGAGCAGTCTCTGCTCTGCTCCCCTTCCTCCAGGACACAAATGGGAACATCCACCTGCCCCACCACAGCCCTGCCCTGCCTTCCCTCTGCCACGCTGCTCCTCGCCCCGTGGCTGTTCTCCTTCCCAAAGAGTCGCTCTGGGATACTATGGCCTGTTTTTATGGCAATTATGAACATGGTAAAAATAAATGCATGCATCTTTAATGTCTCAATAAATAAAGGAAAGCAGAGTCTGCTGCTAACGTAATCACAATGGCAGGATGCAGGGAGTGGGGCCACTGCAGCAGAGCCGAATGCGAAATCCAATCATACCCCGGCAGAGGTTACAGGGCTCTGCCAAGATAATAAAGCAGAGGCAGCTCTGGTTAAGTGTAACCTTTTCTGGAATACAGCACAGTATCTAATTTACCAAACAGGAACCTCCCAGAGAGAAACATGCGAGGAGCAGCGAGCTGGGGGAGTTGGCCTAGCACTCAGCACAGCTCAGTTATTACTTTCACACAGTAATTACTGCTGGAGAGTCACGCTGGAGATTTACTGCACAAACTACTGGTCCCTGCAGTTCCTGCATCCGTGCTCCTGCCGGATGACTTTGATGCTTACAGCTCAGGAGCAAACAGACACACACACGTTTTCAAAGCATATGATAGCCAAGAACCTAAATAGCACAGAAAATACCTGATGCTGTGCTCAGTCCCAGCACTGCCATCCCCAGCATTCACTGTCACCCCACAGCATTCCCCCCAGGCAGCCTCACAGCAGACCCCAGCCTGCAAATGAGCTGAGAGCAGCCAAGCAGTGCAGGGCAGAAGGGATGGGAGCCAGTTTAGCACAATCCTGTCACCTCTGTCACCCAACACTGGCAGACCTGGGAACAGCTCCCACAAGCCCAGAGCCCCAGCTGGCTCTGTCCCTGCATCCCAGCCCCACCAGCACGCCCAGCAGCAGGGAGAGCCCCTGCACCCAACATCTCCACCCCTACGTGTGCACAGTTCAGCCCTGGGACAACCAGGAGAGGAACAGCTGGCTGAGAGGATGCAGACAGCAAATTTCAATAGTTACAGGTACACTGAAGAGCTCTAAAACACTCTGGATGTCCACTCTGGATGGACAGTGCATCGCCAAGGCTTCAGGGGCCACAGAATACCCAAGGTCATCCACAGGGAAAGACTGCCACCAAAATCCCCAGGTTGAGGAGACACCACATGTGCTGCCATCAAACTGCCACAGCCAGAACACAGCTGGCACTAAATCCCCCTCGGACCAACATCCCTGGGAGCTTTGCTACTGATTTCAAACCAAAACCAGCGACCATATCCTGGCTCAACTCGTTCACTGATGAGCAAATTCCCCGTGACTCGTGTTGGATGGACTGGAGCCATGTCCTTCCTGGGTGCTCCCTGCTCCCTGTGTGCCCCTCCTCAGGATGCTCTGCACCACTGATGGAACCCAGCATCCACACGGAACACGAGGGTTCCCGAGGGGCTGGGCACAGCATCTCTTCCCAGGCTTGGGATTTCCCCACCACTGGACACAGCACAAGTGATGATATTTACTCCCAGATTTCAGACAAAACAAGGAATGACATGGCCACAGGGATGGGAAATTCTCTTCCCTGGGTGTGCACCCTTGGAGGTGAGAGCTGGCACAAGGCTGGGCTGCCCATCCTTCCCACACTAGCACACTCCCTCCAGCCCAGTTTCTTTACTTAGCCATGGGATTATCTGTCAAGGTCATCTCCATGCAGAGCAGGGGATCACAATAGAAAAATGAAAAAAGAAACAAGAGTTTTCATGGAGAAGGGCTGCTTTACAGCTTGCATTATTCAATCAAAGTTCACTTGATTTAATTCTAGTTCATCCTGCAAGGTGCAACCACTTACAAACAGAGGCAAAATGATGGGAAAGGAGAGTGTCTTCAACATGTCAACATTTTAATTGGGAAAGGATCCGCTTCCTCTCTTAATGAGACCCAAAGAACAAAGTCAAAGCACAAAAAAGAGGGAGAAGGTAAGGCTGGCTGGCACCGATGAAAGTGTGCTCTTCATCAAGTGCATCACTGAGAGGCTGGCCCTCATCTTCTTCATTATTTTGGCAAAAGCAAATGAACTGTCACTTTCTCACTAATCAGCATCACTCCTGTAGAAATCAAAGGGGAGCCCAGCCCCAAGTCCAGCCTCTCCTTTCCATGTTCAGAGCCAGGCACAGCGAGGACCTCCCAGCCACACTGCCAACCCTTATCTCCTGCTCGCTGTAACTGAAGAAAGGATGCTCACACTCGTCATGATCAGCCCCACAGCCTCCGTGCCATGAATAAACAATCCATTCCAGACACTGGGAACGCTGAATAACACCTTGCATGAAGCCTGTGCCCTCAGCCTGCGTTTCTCTTGAAGGAGAGACACCCTGCTGTCCTCCAGGCTCAGGATTTGCTTTCCAGATGCCAACGTGTTGGTGTCAATGCCATCAAAAAGAGCCCTGGCTTGGCATACAGCTTACCACTGCCTAGTTTGAAAAATGCTTTGAACCACTGCCTTAGCAACACAAACATAAATATAACAACAGACACACTCCGAATTGAGCAATCAGGAGGGAAATATTAAACTTTTTTTTCTCCCCTAGCGGTTGCTTTTGGTTGAGGACTGCCAATTCCATTAAATTAAAAATAAAATAAAAAAAAGATGTACAAACGTCAGTACAACTCTTCTTGACCTGGATATTGACAGGGTGACTTCCCCGACAGCAAAAGGTCTGTTAGCACCAGGGCACTGCTCTAACGACTGCTCACTCCCTGCCTCAGAAACAGAAATAAACCCTGGCGGATCCAAAGGCAGTTTAAGAGGAACTAAAGCAAGTGCCAGCAGAAAGGTCAGCGGGCTGCAGCAACTCCGGGCACGAGCAGCACTGTGGAGTGCTGGAGAGGCAGAGGATGCTGGCTGGGGTCAGTGCCCAGCACAGGAGGGACGTGTCCTGGGCCATGCCAGCAGGCTGGGATCAGCACAGCCGTGTCCCTGCAGCCTGCGAGCCCCAGGACACATGCTTGGCATCTGCTTCTCTAGCACTCTTCCCTCTTTTCAGCCATTTCAGATGTGGGGTATTTTTCAAACCAAACTCCACAGAGGGGAAAATCCAGCTTTCTCCACAGCATGTGGATCCAGGCTCTCGACAAAGGGTTTGGTTCCTCAGTCCACACATCAGCCCCCAGCCAAGTCCACTGTTGTCTGGAGCTCGGCCCATCTCTCCCAACCTGAAGTGACAGGCATCCATCCATCTGCCTCAGAAGACGGCTCCAAAGCATCTCAACGCAGGGGTTTTGTGCCCTTCTTCTCACTTCAGGGTGAAAACATTTCTGTCTTTCCACAAATTATTGTAAACCTGCTGCAACCTCCTGCCAAAGCATGTAGGGACTCTTCACAAAATCAGCTTCATAAAAATGACACATTTAGCACCACTTTTTCAGGGTTATCCCTTGAGCCTTTTTTCCCCCTGTGTGCCTTGTTAATAAAGCTTGCATGTCACCCTTTATTATTAAAAAACAAAGCGGACCTTTCTCCAAGGCTGCAATGTGCATCTCTCCTTTTGGGTTTCACAAAATCCTCCAGAAACACGCGACGCTCCTCATCCTCTGCATCAAGCTGCACATCTCCACCGGGAGCACCAGCCTCCTGCCTTTCCCTCTGTGCTGCAGGCATCACTGGGAACCACAGAAATGGAAAATTGTTCCCAAAAATCCACTGGGCCTCCCTGGTGGGAAGGGTAGGGCTTGTAAGACCGCTTCTCCTGGTCCTTCTGTATCCTCAGTCCTGTTCTCCATGGGCCACTCAACCACAGGCTCCAGCATCTGCAATAGAACTGATGCTGCCTATTAGGAGATCTCACCAGCATTTAATTCTCATGGTTTGAATTATATTGTGGGTGATACAGAATTCATGCAAATTAAATAAGGACGCTCCAGCTGCACTTGGGAAACAGCGAAAATTTCAAAGTAGGGACCAGGTCAAATGAAGTACGC